TCAGTCCATTCAAGGAGAGGTATTTACCACTACATCTCATTCTGTAGATAAAATATTTAATCTGAAGAGCAATGAGATATTTTATTTTGTCTAATTTTGCAAAAGATCCCAATATGAATTCTTTTTTCAAATATACAACATTAATATGAATCTTTCTAAAACAATAACTATCAAAACTATTCAATAAGTCTTGTACTACTTCACATTCCCAGAAGATGTGTTCAATAGTTTCTGTCTCAGTTTCACAAAAAGAACACTTGTATGAATCTATTTTCTTAATTTTATGTAAAAAGGAATTTGTTGCTAATATTTTATGATTAATGCGGAACTGAAACCACTGAAGTTTTGTATCTTTTGTGAGCTTAAAAGGAAATGAAAAAACTTTTTCCCATTCACTATCATTCAAGTTAAAAATTCTATTCCAGCTAGTCTGACCTAAAGGCTTGATATCATTGCTTTTCAAAATTTCATATAAATTTCTTGATTTCTTCGCATTTAATAAACGGAATGTTTTTTGTGTAATATATGGCATATACACAGTTGGCATAGAAATTATATTTTTGGTTTTCATCCATTCTCTGATAGCAGCTATAAGTCCATTGTACTCAAGAAAGTTTTATGGATTCCATATTTCAATTTAAACATATTAATGTCCATAAAGGAACCGTCCTCTCTTAAGAGATCATTTACGAAAAATACATTATTTTCAAACCATTTCTATAAAAAATTGTTTTCTTGCCAATCAGTATATTTTTATTAAAAAATAGTGGTTCCATAGAGGCACTTGCTTCTGGTTCTGGTAATTTTTTAGAAAAAAATAGCCAGGCTTCTAAAACATTTTTCCAAAACATATTTTTTACATCTTTAATTTTCTTGAGAATGTATTCTTCTCCACAAAAAACTGTTTTTTTTAAATCTAAAGTTAGATATGAATATTTACCTTGCAGTATGACATTTTTCATCCATACAAGTTTCAGAGACATAATAAACTCTTTAATACTAATCATCTTGAAACCGCCATCTTTAAGATCTTTAATACAAACTCCTTTTTTTAGTCTAAAAGCATTACTCCCCATTACAAAAGAATAAAAGGTGTTTTCTAAATCTTTTATATATAAATCAGTGGGATTTGGGGAGGCAAAAATATGATTCAATGTTGGCAATAAAAGTGTTTTCAAAACTGTTAATCGTCCTAGTGGTGTGAGATTCCTATGTTTCCAATGTCTTATCATTTTCTTTATGTTTTCTAACTTTGAACTGAGATTCCTCGAAAGTATCTTCTGCAAATCTATATCAAATTCAATACCAAGTAACCTAAAGTTTTTCTTTCCCCACTCAAGAGATTGATTTTTACATAAAACCTCATCACTACCTTTTTTGCTACCTATCCATATTACTTGTGTTTTATCGTAATTTATATGTAAGCCGGACATTTTTGCAAAATCTCTAAGGGTACCTAAACTTGATTGTAAAGATTTCTCACTGCCATCTAATATAAGAGAAAAGTCATCAGCGAGCATCGAGATTTTCTTTTCCCCATCAATAAAATATATACCTTTGATGTCTTTGTTATTTCTTATCTTAATAGCAAGGATTTCAGCACATATCAAGAATAAGTATGGGGATAGTGGGTCTCCCTGTATGACACCCTCGATGCAAAGAGAATGTTTCAGATAAATTTCCTCCCTGATTTACTGCTGATGTAATGTTTGAATAAAATAAACTGACCCATTTCCTCATAGACTTTCCAAAATTAAAGAATTTAAGTGATTTTTGAATAAAAGCCCAAGAGACAGAATCAAATGCTTTTTCAAAGTCAACAAAAAGAAGAAGACCTGGTATTTTTTCTTCTTCTGTATATTGCATAGTGTCATAGATTAGTCTAATGTTTTCAGCTATATGCCTGCCCTGTATAAAGCCTGTTTGATCAGGATGTATAATTTTATCTAGAAACCTTCTAATTCTATTTGCTATTGAACCAGATGCAATTTTATAAACTGTGTTTAAAAGAGAGATAGGTCTCCAATTTTTTAACAAGTGTTTAGGTTTGTCACCCTTCGGTAAGCAGGTAATGATTCCATGTCTCTGAGTTACACTTAAGATATCATGATCATATGCATAATTAATTGATCGGACAACAAAAACGCCTATAAATTTCCAAAAGACCTTAAAAAATTCTGAGGTAAAGCCATCTGAGCCAGGTGATTTATTTGATTTCATCCTAAAAAGTGTTTCCCCTGCCTCCTTCATTGTAATTTGACCTTCTAATGACCTTGACTCTTCATTGGAAAGCTTTTCAATATCTGAAAAATTCATTTCCTCCTGAAGGTTAACATTTTCAATGACATCATCTACATTTCTATATAAATTTTCATAATATTGTTTGGTTGTTTTTAAGATATCTGACTGATTATAAACTGTCTCTCCATTTTCTAATTTAATTTTTGGAATAATTTTACTTATGAAATTTCTTGACTCGAGATTACAGAAATATTTTGTCGGTTTCTCCCCTTCTTCTATCCATCTTGCCCTTGACCTTATATATACACCAGCCATTTTTTCTTTTCTAATATCTTCCAACTCTTTCTTTTTTTCTTCAAGAGTTTCATTATTGCTTGTAGACCCCTGTGCCAATTCCTCCAGGGAACTTATTTCTTTTATAAGTTTTTCTTCTTTAAAAATTCTGGATTTTTTTTTAAAAGACGAATATGAAATACATTTCCCTCTAATTTCCATAAGAAGTGTTTCTAAAAATAACTGGTCATTGACTAAAAATGCAATATTTTCATCTTCAATAGATTGCAAGTTATCTATATTGTATACTGGAACTGCATACTGCTCTTTAACCCTTTGTATCACCCCCTTAATTGAGTTTAAAAATTCTTCATCATATAAAAGAGAATTATTAAATTTCCATAATCCTTTGCCTTTCTTAAAATCATTGAACTTTAAACATAAAGTAATAATCGAGTGGTCGGACCTATAGCTAGGTTCTATAGAACTTGTTGTAACACTTGACAGTAAGTTCTCCGATACAAGAAAAAAATCTAATCTACTTTGCTTAATGGGACTTTTTTTTCTCCAAGTATATCTCAAAGCATCTGGATTATTTTGTCTATAAATATCAACTAAGTTGTTATCTTCCATAAGCTCTATAACCCTCTGTCTTGCATTAGGGTTATTTATATGTTTATAATTATAGTAGTCTAATTCAGGATTTAAAACAAGGTTAAAGTCACCACATAATATAACATTTTCACAATTAAAATCATTAATGTACTCATGTAATCTTTCATAAAAATCAGGGTTATCATTGTTTGGTCCATATATACAACATAAGAGAAACCTTTTTTCATCAGCAGTAAAATCTAAAAGAAGAAAATTACCATCCACGTCTCCTTTTTCCTTAGACATTTTAACCTCAAAATTATTACTGAATAGAATTGCTATACCTCTTGCATTTGATGAAAAAGAACTAAAGTAACAGTCAAAACCCCACATGCTTCTGATTTCATTTTCTATTTCAGTTAATTATGTCTTAATAGAAGCTTCAGGGGCACTGAAGGGGAGGTAATCTAAATCAATAGCACAATTAATGCTTGTAGTTCTCACAAATATCGATAAAAAGATACTCATTCCACATCTTGAAATAGAAGGGGAATTTTAATTTAACTCCATTAGCCAAAGAACATTGAAGTGAGAGGAGTTTTTAGCACTTTGTTATCAGACTTGGCAATTATTTGCCTAGAAAGTTTTCAATATTTATTGAATCACAGCTATTAATCTTTATCAAATTTTTACGATGTAGGTCAAACGTGCAGCTTTAAATTTTCATGATATCTTTTTAATAAGATTAGTATGATGTACATGTCATGAAACCCCTCCAGAAAAATTTCTATAAGTGTTTTATCTGAGAGTTTCAGGCAGTGGTCTGTTGATCAGAATCGTGGTGGCTCGATTATCTGCGAGTTTTAGCAGCTCTCTCGGGAGATGTTGATGATGTAGATGTAGATTCTGTTTATCAATTACTTTCCTGTAATACAAGTCAGCTTATATTTCCCGCTAATTGTTAAAAAATTAAGATTTCCTCTGGATGACATACAATTTCTATGGTCCGTATGACTGTTGCCGGTCGATAGGCTTGTAAATCTACTGTGAGAAATGAGAATTTGTCTGGACTATACCAAGTCCTGCTAAAATTAATTACATGACAGTCAATGTCCTATAGATTCCAAGTACTAATCTACAATAGAATCGCTTGTGTCTTTGTTCTTTTTTTTAATTATAAATATTTTTGATTTGAGTCAAACTGATTTCATGTTGAGAGAATTAATGAAGTCCTTTATTTTTTCTCTCTTTATCAATATCTACCAAGCCTAACAAAACTTTTTAATTAAGTATTGTAAGCTTTATTTTGAATTGGATTAAAAAAAAACCTTTTATCATAAAATTATCTTTGAATGAACATATGTGCACAGTTAATTGTCTTCTCAATACATGTATTAGAAATCCTCAGACATATATGTATTAGACAACTCCAGTATCTAGTACCCTTTTAATGAAGAACAGCAAAAATGAAAAAAAAATCGTAATATTGTAATGGGTTTTATTTAGTCCTGTTTAAGTATCTTTGTTATTTTCAGACAGACTAGTGCTATAAATTTTTGACAATTTTCTCCCAAATACACACAATTTGTTTTGAAAGTTTAAAATGAGGAGACATTTAGTCAGGGTAGGGTCACATACAGGTGTGACTGATGCCCCCTCAGGACCCACTTTTACATGAGAACTCGGTCACTAAATAACCTATAATCAAAAAGCCCTGACATCACCCTAATTACACCTGACTAGTCAGCTGCTCAGGTACACAGTGCCCTGATTCTGGGAGTCTTAGAATATTAAGGTAGGATAACAAGGATCCTGTGATGTCGTAACAGACTGGTACCAATAACAGGAGATCTACTGTCAGCGTTTGTTGTGGAGTCAGAGCAGGACAGGTTTGTTGATGTTTTGTGGCAGTAAGTGGGAAGCTGGGATACTTCTGGTCAGAGACCAAGCATGGTAGTATAGATATATCCAGTGATTCATCCTAGGTCAGATTAAATATCCTCTCTCTGTCTGAGGCCTGCGATCACTCCCCATCAGTCTTGTGTGAGGCAGTCTGATCAGCCACATAATTAAGTGGGGGAGGAGTAAATGACCCGGTCTCTGAGGACAAAATTTAAATCGAGCCATCCATCAGCTGGGAGACAGCTGAGCTGATTGTGTCTGCAAATGTTAAGGAGAATCATCCCTGTCCACCAACCACTGAAGAATTAGGTGTACCACCTTAATTGTTTGTTCACCTTCTTGTAGAAAATTGGAGAATCTTTGATTTATAATCGCTGCAGATTACAGCATTTCTTTCTAGTGTGTTCGAATTTTAGATGTGATTTGTCAATGTCTGGGATTAGGGGAGAATTTGACTGGATACTGGTGTTCTAATAATGGAAGCAGCATCTGATCTTTAGATCTTGTTAAATTCTCTCAGGAGTAACTCTGCTCTGAAATTTTGTGATTTGTCAGCCTAGTCTTGACTTTAATCCTCAATAGGATTCTATAAAATTGTGGAATAAAACTTTGTTACTGATTGATTTTAAGAATTGACCTTGAATGGTTGAAAAATATTTACAGATCAGAAACTTGCTAATCAATGAACATGACAGGTTAAGTCTGTGAAGATGCTAATAAAGGGACAATTTTAACATGCACAAGGCGTCTTTGTAGAGATAGATTTCTGAATTAATTAATCTATAATGCAATGCAGTGCAGGTTGGCCTCAGTGCTTAGTAATACAATCTAAGGAGTTCTGTGAACTTTGATGATACAAACATCGGACAGTTGTCTGGAATAAAACTTAATTAAGTGGACATCCAAGACAGGACAGAATGGGGAACTTCTGGAGATAGCTCTAGGGCCCTGGGGGACGCTGAAAGTCGATACAGTCAAGTATAGAGAGATTGGACTGTAGCCGCCAAGACTGTGCTTGTGAAGCGTTTTGTTAAATTGATACCCTGAGCTGGAGAATGGAGGCGAGAGACTCTGGGAATTAAGCCATTAGGAGAGTTATTTTTTGAGAAGTTTGGTATTGAGTACATTGAGTGATCGTAATGCCGCGTAAAGGGAAGTACGAGATTGAGGCGTATAAGTACCAGTACTGGAACTGCCTGTGTTGTTGGAAAGTCCAGCAGGAAAAGTAAGTCCTACATGTATTGAAAACAGCTGCAGGGAAAAAAGTTGGTACATAAGGAAAAATATTATGAATAAGATAATAAGGGGATTGCATACATTAAAACAAAAATTATATTTTTAAGGTTAACAAAAAAGTGAATGCATAATTTAAGTACTAAATTTATGATGTCCACTGTCAGAAATTGCCAAGAAGAAAAAAAAATCAATTTTTTGGTTTCAGTAAAATATTTTTGTGCAAAAATATTATTATAACAGCATAAATAATGCTCAAGATTGTTATTTAATATTGCCTTTATAGTGAAATTATGCTCACTTTTCCCGGAATTACCCTGTAGATTTTTTTGTTTCTCAAGGGTTATATCATATATCAACTGAAAATTGTGAACTGCTCTTGTCTTGAAGTAGTCATCATGATGAATATGAAAGCTTACTGGTACATGTAGTTGATTTATTTTTTTGTCTTCCAATTTCATGAATATTGTAATCTATTTCATCTCTATTTTAATTTTAGATGGGATCTGTAAACTTGCAAATATCATTGCAAACTACATAGTACTTGTAGTAAATTTATAATTTTTTATATGATATTTATGCTACACTACAGTTTGTTGATGCTGTTAATTTATGCTGTGTTCCTCTGATGTCTATCTGTGTTGATGTGGTATATCACTGTTTTGTTTATTGATAGAAGCCACATGTCTCCCTCATGCCCCTGTTGTTCCTAGGAAGAGAATCAGATAAGATCAGAGAAGAGGGGGGAGGGAGAGTAGTAGCCTAGATCTGGGGCTGCTTACATGTCTGATGAACAAATAGGGGAGGAGTTGTCAGAGAATACACAACCAGGTGGATAATTCCTGATGATTGTGGTGTAACCTCATTCTCAACTAGTGGACAGTGTGGGGTGGTGTTAGTGGTGGTGGTGGGGGGGGGGTCATCAGATAAAGAACCTGAGTTGTTAATAGGATGTAGGGGGGAGGAAGGAGGGTCACCTGATACTTTTATATCAGGGAGAGAGTTGTACTAAGTGGAGGGCTATAATTATAAGGCTCAGATTACTATCATTATTATCTGGGAGGGTGATCTATAGCTCTAGATGAGGGTAAACCACACGTTAACTGGACAACTGGCCAGACAGTGAGACAGCACGGACAGGGTAAACCACACTGGTCCAGTGGCCAAACAGCTGACCAAGGTTGTGGAGGTTAATGTAATTAGTTAAGTCAACTGCGGGCCTGATCATTGATTTATATAAGAGGTTATCAGTCATTAGGAAGGAAAATCAAGAACTGATCAATGTCCGACAATTTACAATGTGAATTAAAAACCAGTACGTTAGTTTGATAGTTGGCTTAGACAGATAAAAAGCATTCTCATAGACATAATTAGAGATCCACATTATCTCGTTTATGCTTTGTTGAATTTAGACAAAACTTAATGAAAGACCTGGATATTGATTTTGAATATTACCTGCAAATCTGTAGAAATTATAAACGATAACTATTCATTGGATTTATATGTTGATAGTAATGAATGATTGAAGAACATTTTGCTAGAAACAAATACATATTACAAATTTTTCATTATTTTCTCTTGTCTTTTAGCTTTAGGTATGCCCTGTGTGTGTTTGTGTATTCCTTTTGGACATTGAATATGTTTTTCAAAAAGGAATAAAAATAGGAGGAAATGGAACAGAGAAGCTTAATTTCTTACAATTACATTCACAAACTGACGGTATAGTTAGCTGTGAGGGTTTTTGGTGTGACTATAATGATCTCTGGGAATCTTCACTCTGAGGGCAGAGTGAACATTCTGGATTAGTCAGTTATAATCAGTGTAATACACATGTAGACATGCAGGATGACGTTGTATCTGATGTAGGAATACATAACATCTCCCCTACTCCCCGCAGCAGAAATATGTCAGCCATATATAGTACTTCAGTATATAGTACCTTGTATCCAATACACTTAGTACAAGGACTGTACTCAGGTATCTAAAAGTAGATATATTAATCAGTCTGAACAGCCTTCAATTTTAATGAATGCAGATCTAATCATAATTTGATTTAGTTATACGCACTTATAAAACAGCTGAATATGAAAGTAATATGTTAATGAGGGAAAACAGATTAGAAAGAAAGGGTCAGTCTGGTACAGAAATGAAAAGAGACGGTTAGAGCTGGGTCATATAATACCGATATTCTGATGTATTTTGGTACGATGACAAAAAATATCCTCTTGAATTAGGTTTTCAGTACATGTACTGATATGCTGGCAAATTTCCTGGACCGGGATTTCTTTAGTAAAATATAAAGTATACATATATGTCAGAAATATTTACGATCATTTTAAATGGGAATTCTAAAGCTGTTGTATTTGTGAATTTTGATGCATTAATTACTTACTATATTAAAACCAGCAATATTTATTTTCTCTTGGTCATTTATTATAGTTGTGTACATACTGCTTGTAGATATAAATTTTGATATGATAGAACAATTACATTTTAATTCTGATTGAAATTTTTGGAATACATATATCACTTTAGGTAAAAATATCGCAGTATAAATTGATTCAGTGTGCTTACAGGAATAGTTCTGCAGGAGTTATCTATCTTGGAGCATTTCTTCTGCATACTAAGATATTTTTAGGGAGGAGAAGTCCAATAGATATTATTGAGAGTGTTAAGAATTCTATGTTAGGCCGTTAACATTGAATTGATATTCAGAATTCAGCATTCCGATCCTATTTATAGTGATTTAAATAATATAAAAGATTAAATAACTAAATATCCATTACTCGATTAAATGACAAAGAAAAATATGCAGAGCTCTTAGAAATGCTAAATAGAATTAGGCACAGTCCTGGCTTAGCATTAAAGTCAGGATTATAGGGGCACCACAGTCAAGTAATCCCCCAGTCATAGAGTTCCCGTAAATATTTGTGAGGTGCACCTTACATATCAGCTTATTGATCCTGATTGGTTTAAACTAAATCATTTGATCCCATTGGATTGGTGGCGATTTAATTAATACCGCTGTCAATGGGATAAAGAACAGGTGAAATTGTCCAGGGTTTTGTGGTGAAGTTGATAGCGTTTCTCTATTTTTTTTCTCAGTACTTTTTGGAGCACAGTCAAATTGTCAATATCCCTTCTGATTTTACTGCAACATGTGGTCTTCCCACCGCTGCAGTGAATTACATTGCTGGTGTACTGTTATAGGCCCCTCATACAGGGTGCGTGTAGAAGTTTTTTATCTCATAATTCTCATCTAATTAAACAGAGGAAATGGATTGATAGCAGTTTTTTCATCTCCCTATATTGCTACATTGAGTGTAGATCCTGTGATATTATCGGAGAGTTGTACAACTTTTGACCAGTTCCTTATTACTTGATGTATGAGAGAAGTCTATGGATTACTCAAGTCTTGTACAGTAGGATGCTGTGTGATGACTGATTAATCGATGATTATTGCGATGAGAGAAGCATTGATCGGCAGATGATATAATGGTGATGATAATTGTGATGATTTATTAAATGACCCGGATATTAATGGCTTATTTGTGGCAGAAAATGCTGAGACAGTGGAAACAGGCCAAGTAAGTTTGTCCTCCAGGCTCAGTCTTGGTACACTATTATTCTGTCTGACTATACATGTGTTAGAATTAGTACCAATTATTAGTGTCTCCCCCCCATTATAAGGCAGAATGTTATGTACAGTGCACTGTTGATGTACTCTCTGACTATATACAGAGTGGATCTACATGATGCAATAAAAAAAGATAATCCCCTTTTGTTTAGAAAAAGGATGGTGACCGAAAAAAGTTAAGGAATAGAACTGTATGAAGTGTTCTCTTTGAACGCTTTTTTCCTTTTGACCCATTTTGGCAAATGTTGAACAGACTGATACTAAAAGTACTAAAATATGCAAATATCTACCAGTATACACAGTAATATCCTAGGATAACATTTAGTGCAGGTTTTAGTACAGTTGAATGACATATTTCACTGTGTTAAAAATGCCATGTGTCATGAACTTCCTGTATATGGTACAGTGAAACTTGTGTAAGCTGGAAATTGCATATTCCAAAAGCTTGCCTATTACATGTACAGTTTAACTCTTAAAATTCCTTTTTAGTAGAATTGTTGTTTGAAATTAGATGTTGTCTATAATCTGGCTAATTTCTTTGTAATCAGTGATAACAGTATTATTAAACAAGTCCGTATTAAACAAATATCTTACTGTATTACCATAAATCTGGAAATTTTTGCTGTAGATAAACTTTTAGCAAATTTGCGAGTTCATTGCATTCGCAAAAATATTTTTCTTAAAAATAAATTACCAACAAGAAAATGTAAACAACGCAGTGGTAATTCGCAAAATTTTGAAACATAAAATTCAACACCATTTTGACCCGAATTCGCAAAATAAAATCGACGTAAAAATTTCCAGATTTACGGTATTGCATGCAAGTCAATGAATGAATAATTGTCTTTAAGTACATGTAAGATATATGAGAAATAACAATGGCCATCATGATTACTGCAGATCTCTGGCAGAACATGTACCTTATCTTATTTTATTCATCAATATAATTTATCAGATTCAGAAGTTTCTTTAAATAATAGTTGAAAAAAAAAACAAAACTGTTAAAGGATGGTGTGAGATGGTGGATTTGGTGATATGCTGTTCTGGCTTTCTTCTTTGACAAATTTTCTTCTATTTAGCTGAGGCAGCTGGAACTGACACCATCAATGTAGTCTTAATTAATGCAGTATTATTCTAATGGTCAGGTGGTTAATCAAGACCATGAAACGATAATTATATACAACTATACAGAACAACTAAAAATTGCGAATGTTCATCTTGAAGTTAAATCTTTCAAGTGGAGTTTATATACTAGGCTAAAACTATAATTTCTATTAAAAAAATTTAAAATTCCTTGGATTAAAAGGACAATATAGTTTTCTTAATTATGAAATAAAATTATAAACGCTTCGCCC